GAAAAAAAGGTTTATTTAAAAAAAAAGGTCACACACCCCCCCTTCCCCTCCGTCCTTTTTTTTTGTATAAATTCACACGACTCTTGTTAAAATTATTTAAATTTTAATAAAACAAATTTTTTTTTTTTTTTTTTTTTTTATAAAACAAGTTTTTTAATGAAAAATCACACAGACAAGTAAATCCACTAAAAAAAAAAAAAAGAGGAAAATTTTTAAATGCACATTTTTTTTTTTTTATTTAATTAATAATCTTTTTTTTTTTTAAAAAAAAAGTTTAAAAAATAAATAAAATCAACCGCTTGACACCTGAGCTTTCTTTCTTTCTTATTAAAAAAAAATAAAAAAATTTATTACTACCATTTATTTTTAAAACCATTATTATTATTATTATTTTTGTTAAGATAAAAAAAAATAAATAAATAAACAAGATAAATAAACGGTTAAATTTGTTCTCATTAAAGATTTTATTTATCGGAAAACAATCTCTTGTGAAAATTTTTGTTGTTGTTAAAAGAGAAAATATCTGAAATTATATTAGAAACTCATTATAAACGTGAAAAATATTTTATTATTAGTTGTTGGAAAAATTTTATTCAATTTTCTTGGCTAAAATTTTCATTAAAGTCTTCTTATCGGATGATTTCAAGGCTACTAACTAATAAACCTAACAATAAAATAAGTAATAATGATAATAATAATTAAAATAAAGGGAAGAAAAACGATGAAATTTTGATGTTTTTTTTTAAATCAAAATTATAAGAGAATATGCGTATTAATTAATTTAATTTTAATTATTATTATTATTATCACAAAAAAAAATTTTAATAATTTATATCGATTTCTTATCGATTGATCGATAATTATCAATAAAAAAAATTTGCAATTTTATCCAATAATTATTGAAATTCTGTCTGTCTGTTAAAATTTTTTTTCCTTATAAAAAAAAAAATTATGACGTCACTCGATAGGTTTTTTTTTATTTAAAAAAAAAAATCGATTTTTAATATTTAAATATTAATAAAACAAAAAAAAAATAATTAAAATATTAAATTAATTAACGTTCGATTTGAAAATCATTTTTTTCTTTTAATAATTAATTAAAATTAAATTATTAATAAATTATTTATTATAAAAAATTAAATTTTTTTTTATTTTTCTAATTAATTAAACTAACTTATAATTAATATTTTTAAATTTTACCAAGACAAAAATTATTTATTAAAAAATTCCTTCAACCTTATTTAATTATTTTTTATTAAATCTTTATTTACAAAAATTATAATAATAATAATAATTAATATAATTTTTAGCCCCCACACACACACACAAAAAAAAAAAATACAATAAAATTAATAAATTATTATTAAAAAAATTAAAAAATTTTTTTTAAAGTTAACTTACGTACTAACTTTTTAGTTTTAGTTTTATAATTAGTGTCGATATTAATTAATTAAAAAAAAAAATAATCGTCGATTGTTTATTAAACAATAAAATATTAAAATAACTTTTATTAATAAATAAAATATTTATTTGTTAATTTAATAATGATAAATTTTTTACACGCACGAAATTATACATTTTTTATGTAATTAGTAAATTTAAAATACCGGAATTTAGTATATAACTAAATATTATTATTATTATTAATTTACAACTAAATATTTTAACGTTTAGTCTCGAAAAAAAAATAGATTTTTTTAGTAAAAATGTTATTACATAACTTCTTATCATTAACAAATTTTTATGATAAGGTAAACGATTTAAAATAGGTTAAAAAATTATTATTATTATTTTTTTAAACAAAATGTATATGTTCTTACCTTTACAACTTTGATTTGAAACAAACAAACAAAAAATTTTTTTTTTATTAAATTTTATTATCAGAAATTTATGTGACTGAAACTTGGCAACAAAAAAAAAAAAAATATCAAAAAATTTTTTTTATCAAAATATTTATAACAATTTTAAACCAAACTCAAATTTCATGTTTGCAAAAAAAAATAAAAATAAATTTTTGGCACTCACTGACATGATTTCATATGTAAAATATTATTTGATATTTGATTTTTTTTTATTCATTTAATCTATATGAATTGTTTAAATAAATTAGACAACAAAAAATAAAAAAATGACTGTTAGGCAGTGTGACTGGTAAAATCATATTTTACCAAAAACAAAAAAAAAAAAATTTATTTATTATGAAATTATTTTTATATTTTATTAAATAATTAGGTTTAAATGATTCCATATTATCAGGAAGTTTTATTATTGTTAATTTCATTTAGCAACATTCATTAATTAACTAAAAATTTATTATTTTGTATTTGTAACAATAACTATTTAACTCTCTGATAAAATTTTGTATTTAATTAATGTGTTGTTGTTGTAATGACAAAACTGTTGATATTAATTTTTAATTTGAATCTCATATAAAAATTGGGAAAAAGTTTTTTTTTTTCGAAATGAGGCTCAGTAAGTTATTTAAATATTTTTTTTTTAATAATTGAAATAATTAAGTCAACAAACATTTTACTTATATTAAAATAAAATACTCATGTAAATCTAGAACTGTAATCATGCAATTTTCTAAAGAGTTTTAATATCTTTTGTTAAATATTTATTGGATTTAAGACACAGATTATTATCATTTTGGTTTTTTTGTTATTGATTTACCCCCCATTTTGTTTTTTAGTAATAGTAAAAAAAGTATAAGAATAATTCTTTACATTTTGTTTTTTATAATTATATTTAATATAGACAAAATAAATTAATATAAATTAAATAAAACATTTTTATTTAAAAGCATAAAAAACAAGAGATTAATGTTTAAACTTAAATAGTAAATTATTAATTGTTTTTTTATTTAAATTTTTTTTTTAAAATCATTCTAACCTCAATCTTTATTGAAATTTTAAATCTAATCGTATGTCCTTGTAACTACTAATATGCCTCCTTGAAATGTTTTTTTTGTTTTTAATAAAAAAAATAAAAAAATTATTTTGATTTGTTTAAATTAATCTTTTATGTGTTTTAAAATAAAAAAATAAAGTATAATACTTAAAACTTTTTGATAAAATCATTGATTTTTAAATGAAAATAATTAAAAACGAAACGGATTAAAAATCCGTTTTAAAATGTGTATTTAGAATTTAGTTCCACGTCGATTATCTCATAGATGTTATGAAAAATTGGCAACTTTTAAATAAAGTTCGGGTCATTAGAAATTGCGTTTTCTAAAGACAAAATTTATCAAAAAATTTATTTATTATAACAGCACACAAATGCTGCCTTCAAGAAAACTTTTTTATTGTAGACTAAATTTATTTAAGCATCTAAAATTTGTTGCTGCTTATTCTAGAAAAAGCGATTCTAAAAATCAGGGTCCCTACAAAATAGTTAAATCTAATGATGTAATTGATGGTAAATACTGTCAAAATTTTTCTATTTGTATAATTTTTCATTACCATAAACTGTCATTATTAATTTTTATAAATTTAACTGCCTGGTTAAATTATTTATTCATTGAAATAATGTAATATTTTAAATTTCAGACGTAGTTGATAATAGATTTGGCTCAATACCTAATTGGGAATTGTTGGCACCAAAGGGCTACAGATTTTTATTACCTGGTTCACTTGGACCTGCTTGGCACGAAGCTGGATCCATGGTTCCAGTTGACACATTTAATACTTCAAAAACAAATTCAAAACTAACTAAATTAGATTTAGATGCTTTGGAATGCACAGCTCAAGAGTGTCCAATTTTACTTCGAAATGGTTATTATAATTTTTTTTTTGTCTTATTATCAGTTTTATTAAGATTTGCTAATAACATTTTCCAGCTGTTACCAAATTACTATACCTAAAAAAGAAAACAAAAAAGTTTTTTCATAATTCCCTTCAATATTGTTTAATTAAATTTAATTTTTTTTTTAGGAGTCTTGGAGTTATTTCCCAATAATGAAATTTATACTTCACAACAACTTACAGTTGTAACTATTAAACATAAAAATAATTTTTATAAATCAAAATCCAGTGATGTCGAATCAGAATATGATGCCAAAACGGTAAAAATAAGTTTTATTTCGTTTTAAATATATTAAATAATTACTTTTTACTAAAAGTTCTTATAAATTATGCCTGATTCTCATTTACAGTTTGTTTGGGCTGCTCAAGAAATTTGTATCAAGTTAAAATCAACTGGTTATTGGGCAGATTTTATAAATCCATTTTCAGGCAGACCTTATCTAAGCCCATTCTATAAATCTACACTCTATGAAACAGATGAAAGGTTTAGATGTTTGGGATTTGAAATTAGAAAAAGTGGAAATTGCAAAATAATACAAAGTAGAGATGATGATAAACAATTTATCGGTAAGTCACATTATATATATGAATCATAACCCACTACTACCAACCTAATTAATTACAATAGAATTTTCATAAATTTTATTTAAATTAATTTCTTTTTCCGTTTCTTTTTTTGTTTTCGTTAGGAAGCCTATTCACAAATGCTCCGGCAAATACAATGTTCTTTTATGAAATGTTAAGCGAAGATTAAAAAATTTAAAAAAAAAATAAAATAAAAATAAATTTTATTTTTATTTCATTTAAATTTAAATAGATTGTTTTTGTTTATTATTATCATTATTATTTTTTATTTTTTCATTTTTATCTTATTAATTATTTTCAATCGTAATTTCTTATCTAAACTTGGGATGTTATATTAAAGATTAATAATAAATACTTTTTTTTTAATGGTTTTAAATTATGAAAATTTTATATTTATGTATATATATATATTATATTATGTGAAATCATATATAAAAGCCTTAAAAAGGTCTTTTGTTCTTCAAATAAGTTTTTTTTTTTTTTCTTATATATGAATCTGTGATTAACGAATACTGTATAGTGTAAATATTAAAATGGTGTCATTCTATATTATATTTACATGGATTAAATTAATTTGATTTTTTTTTTTTTATTTATTCATTATCATATCGTCGTTTAAATTTATCATTAATTTTATTTAATAAATTTTTAAAATAAATAAACTTACTCTATTAAATATTTTCAACTAAAATTTTTACAATCGGTTTGTCTTTATTCCTTCCTTTAAATTATTCTTCCTCATCCGTACTGCAATTTGAATTAATAAATTTTGTTGATAATTTTGCTATAGATGCTGCTGCTTTAAACCTTGTTGTTGCTTTTAGTTTACTCATTTTCTTTTTCCACTAAGAATAAAAAAAAATTATTTAATACAAATGTAAAGTTTGATATGGTTTACGAAGCGCTCTGATGAGTTATTTTTTAAATTATATCAAAAAAAAAATCATTGTACCTGTTCATCTCTTGACGGTAACGATGCCAAATATTTTTTCATTTCGGGTTTTTGTGGATCGGCTATTGCAAAAACCGAAAGACATCCATCAACCGTACCTAAAACTATACATTTACCATCATCCGTAGTTTCAACTGCGCTTAATTCTGCTTGAACTCTATAATTTGCTATCATTTGTGCATCTGATGTTCTGTAAATTGTCACCATCAAAAAAAAACCAAGTAACTAATAAAAAAATTTATTTCATTTAATAAGGTTTATGATATACCTGAATATCCTAACTGTTTTTCTTCCACTATGATAATACAAAACATATTCATCAGTTTTACTAAACATACATTTCACGGTAAAAACCCCTTCTGCCACCTTTGGAATATACGTTTGAACCGTTGATCCTTTTTTCAATTCCAACAACTCCAAACCTCCCCTAAAAAATTAAATGTAAATTGTTAAATAAATAAAAAAAGCTGGGGTGCAATTATTCAATCAGAATTTTTATTTACCTGGATGGTGCATAAAGACCAGTTTTTCCATCTCTCGTGCAAATTCCACCCCATTTGGATATCGAACGCACTAATCTTTTATTTTTAATATCGAAAATACTACCCTTGTCGTTATCTATAACGGCAACATGGGTGGCTTTATTAGGCATGGGTACAAGCATGAGAGCATCCTGTAATAAATAAATATTGGAAAAATGATTTTGAATACATATATTGATCGAGTATTGATAAATTATTTCAAGTACTTTAACTCCTGCTTGCTTAATTGAAACTTTGTGACACGTTGCTCCAGTTTTGGCATTAAATATCAACAGCGTATCTCTTACTCCTTTTTCTGCTGCTAAAAATACCAAATATTGACCGTCACAAGTGATAACGCCAGGTTTAAAATTAGTTCCGGTTGTATTTCGAACGGGTATTTCAAACGAATAAATTTTACTACCGTCTAAAAAAAAAATTTAAGGTTAAATTTCAATCGAAAAAAATAAAAAATTTCTTTTTTCGTTTTGATTGTTTACCAGGAATCGATCGTAAAACACCTAAAGCCGTTTGTTTGGTTCCTTCTGAATTGTTTCCAACCGTTGAATTTTTAGAAATTGTTAAAAATTTTGTATCGTTTTCAAGTAAAGTTAATTGTTTTACGTTTAATTGTTCTTCTTTAAAAAGAACCATTTCCGTAAAACGATTCCAAATGATAATATTTCCTGATTCGGCAGAAATTATATATCTAAAATTTTTTTTTTTTTTTTTTTTGATTGTTATTGTACGTCCGACGTAAAACTTATTCATCATTTCTCACCTTCCATTTTGAGTTATGACAGCGTGAGTGACAATAGCACCAAGAGGACTGTCGGCTAATCGTGCTAATAATTTACCAATCATTAAATCCCAAACTCCAACGCAACTTCTTGTAACAGTAACTGCTATTCCAACTTGTGATAACCTAATGAATTTGAATTTTTGTAAATTTTTTTTACTATGAAACAAGTTTATTGTCACAACTTACTGAATAGAATCAATTTGAAGCTCGTGTCTATCGATGACGTGTACTTGTTCAAAAATATTATTTATATTCCAGACTTTTACGGTTCGATCAATGGATGAAGTTATAACCAAATTCCAATTTCCTATCGTTAACGGTTCTAATGATATAATACGTGCAAAATGAGCATCCAAAACATTAACTAATTTTTTCGTTTCCAAGTTCCATACGTATAAATTTTTCCTAATAAATTAATTTATATTATTATAATGAAAAATTATATTTGAAAATTGTACGATAAGTATTTTATGCAAACCTTACTCCAGCAACTGCATATTTTTTTGTTATGTCTAACATTACTGAATTGCTTTCCAAAATTTTTGTCGATATATTTCTAACACCGTGTGGAAGAGCCAAAACAATTGCTTCGTCTATAGCTTCAAAATTTTCTAATTCGTTTGATAAATCTCCTGAACCATTTGTAATATTTGAAGTGTCTTCAAAATTACACGATTTCGAATGGACGTTCCATATAACAAAGCCGTTAGAAGTTGAACCTAAGAGAGTTTTATCTTCCGAATCTAATTTTAATTGAAGAAGTGCTTCCGTGTCAGAATTATCTAAAATATTATTTTTACGTAAGCGGAAATATGTAGATTTTCAAATTAGAATTTTAAGAAAAATTTTTTACTCACACGAAGATGGTAGTTTTCGAATTTTTTCCCATTTTAAATTTTCAAAATCTGCTTTGTACATGAAAACGTCATTTAATCCTTCTTCGGAACAACAATAAAGTACATCTTGGTCCTTATTGAAAGCTATTGCACTGTAATATTTTTAAAATAATAATAAAAATGTTATTTTTTATTAAAAAAAATTGTATGTTTTAGTAAATATTCTTACTTGTGAAAATATAAAGGATCAAAAGTTCCATTCATACTAAAATATTTAAGCAACATTTCCCGTTGATCTATTTCTCCTGTCCAAAAAAAAATTTTATATTCTTTTAAATTTTTCAAACATTTAAAATTTCATTGATCGTTTCTCGTGTGTTTGAGATTTCCAAACTCCTCGAGATAATTGACACAGATTTATGACGTAAATAAATAAATGTGCATTTAACAAATAAACTCCACAAACTTTTTCTCCTTCCGATAAAGGATTATCCAATGTAATAAATTCACTTGTTAAAGTATTTAAAAAAACGGTCTAAAAAGTTAGAATAAAAAAAAATTTTTTTTAAATTATGAAAATAATAATAATAATAATAATAAATTATTTGATGTTAATTATAATAGCTAAATTAGTTTAAATCTAAATCTTCTAATGTGGTAACTGCGTTACCTGATCATTGTTCGTAAAAGCAGCTGCATATTTATTATCAGGACTCAACACCAGGTTTTGCATTATTCCTTCTATGCCTGGATTTACATCTCTCGTCATATCACTAGTTGATAAATCCCATGTTATAAATTTATTTGACACGGATACGATGTATCGGTAATCGGATGTGAGGCAAAATCCAAATACGGCAAATTGATGTCCTTCTAATGAATACTGAAAAATGAGGGGGAAAAAAGTCATATAAAAAACATAATGAAAATAAAATATTGCGTATTAATCACGACTACTAACTTTTAACGGTCCTCCAGGAGTGTGTAAACAATGATATTGAGGAAGCAATGCGCAATGATTAATACCTTTATTATCACATTCACTCAATAACATTTTTATATTTGCGTTAGTGTCACTTTCGGGAAGCAATCTTCCTATGAGCTGCGGTGCTAACATATCCGGGTATACACTCAAAATTGCTCCTCCAAGACGTAAAGCATCTGCCACCAGCATTAGCTCCCTGTAAGTTTAAAGCTTCTTTTTTAGGGGAAAATTTTTACTGTACAAGCTTAATTAAATTAAAATGTAAATGGTATTAAATAATTAGAAAAGCGCGTTAAAATACTGTAGCAACTTATAAGGAAAATTAGTTTATACAAAAAACAATCAAATAAGAGTTTTAATTATCTACCTTATTGCTTCCCTATCTTCTGTATGACTGCAAGCATCTTCAAAATCACTTAATACAGCTTGAAGTGGACATGAAGAAAGTTTCGCATGAAGCCATTCGTAATTAAATAAAACGTGTTTATAAAGATCGGTAAATCTACGAGCTCTGACCATGTGAAAAGGTAGTTCATTAAACTGTAAGACAACAGATTTTTTAAAATTTTGTAGTAAACAGATACTAATAAAAGTAAAAAAAATAAATTAATACCTTTCTTAAATTATACCGGGATACTTTTCCATCTTTTGAATAAAATACCAGGGGTTGAATTGGTACCTTCCTGTCCGCAGACCCTTCTTTATCAGTTAAATTAAACCTGTGACGCTGAATTTCAGTGTATTTAAATGGTTTAGGGTTTCCTCCACCCCAAATTCCTAAATAATAGTCAGCGATTGAAGAATGAAAATATAATGCCATATTCATGTTTTTAAAATATCTTTCTTTAGCAGTATCTCGAAATTGCCTATAAGTAATACATTTTTATAAAATATTCAGTTAATTTTACAAAAATTTAAAACTCCGTTTTGACTTGAAAAGTTAAACCCCCCCCCCAAAAAAAAAAGTTTTACCTATGATACCAATTCATAACGCTTACTCCGTCAGCTTCTCTTTCAGACAAATAGTTTGGTAAATCATTTCTTATTCTGGTCCACAACAAAGGAGGAATTCGCCTCACTGGAGGAAGATGGTATTGATATACATCGTCTAAAACTCTGTCATCTAAAGATATAAGATCTTCTAATTCTGATTCTGAAAGACCACTTTTAGCCGCTGTGATGTAAGCCAAAGCATGAAATACTAAAATCCTTCCGTGCTGCAAAAAAAAAAACTTGTTTAAAATCTTTTCTAAAAAGTTTTAAAATTTATTTTTATTTTTTTTTTTTTACTTGTTTTTCAATTCTTTCAAAAAGCATCATTATAGAATCCATGACAGTTGATGCCAAATGAGTTTCTTGTGGTTTTGTATAACTTCTCCATCTGCATATTTCAGCAAATACAAGTTTAACAAATATTGGCAAAGAACAAGATTCAATGGCATTAGCCACAAGTCGCCACTGATAGTTGCTTAAATCTCTATGAGCTTCAGCCATCCACATTCTGCAAAGAAAAGTAAAAAATTTAACGTCAAAAGGTGTTCGTAAGAACGAATTTGTTTCTTTATAATTAATTTGAGACTTTACAATATAAAAAAAATTTTTTAAGATATTACTTATTATATCGAATTACTTATACAATTAGTTGGCTTACTTGATCACCTGCATGGCTAAATCTTCTCCTAAAGCTGTAACTTCAATAAACTGATTGTCAACATCAATTATCCTTCTTAAAAGATGATATTCCTTTGAAACTTCAGCATTTTCTTCTTCAGCCGCGCAAGTAACCATTAACTGCATACATTTTAATTGCGTAAAGCAAGAGATATGAAATAAACGAGTTAAGAGTAAATCAATTTTATATGATTTTTACTTTACAATGAGGTGGTAGCCTCGTTGGAAGCCATGAAACTTTATTCGAATCTTGAGTCCCAGTTAACTGATCAACCGAATCCAAAAATACGAATAAAGGTTGCTTTTCAGTAGCACACGTCAATAAATATTTAAAATGAGCAGTAAGCGGCACCAAATCATCCGGAATATCTTCATATGAAAGCATGTAATTATAGGAAATCTACATTCAAAAAAAAAAAAAATATACAAAAATTTATATATAAGTATAAATTCAAGAGAACAAATTCTTCTACAAAAATTCGTGACCTGTTGGCAAATGGACATCAAAGTTGGAGTAAGTGCACTACTATCAGGAGTTGTTCCTAGAAATCTAATAACAATTATTGGTTTTACATCTAAAAACCATTCGGAGCTAGTTAATCCGGCTGCTTTTGCTAAAAGTGATGTTTTACCACAACCACCCTCTCCGTACAAAACAATGGGCTTGTCATTATCACTTTTCATGTAATTTTCAATTTTGACTAAATGGTCTTCTCTACCGCTGAACACCTATAAAAATAAAAATTGAGCATATCCAATAAATTTAATTAAATACATTTTATTATTAAAAATAAAAACTTAATTAAATATAACCTTTACGGAATTGTTACATGCATGAAGATGTTGTAAAATTTCTGTTACAATTTGTCCCTGAGCGCTAGAATCTTCTTTTCTCATAGCTCTATCAACTAATTTTGTTATGTTTTTGTAAAAATGCGTTATAAAATGTTGAAGATATTCTTCATGAGTTTCTGTATCTAATCCTTCACGTCCTATCCACTCTACGGTATACCTTACATTTAACGGTGAAAAATTTGTTCCAAAAAAAATTTTTTTCACAATTTTTTATTTTACCTTTGTATGTTAGTAGTTTCTATTCTGGCGGGTACTCTTTCATCCCTTAAATTAGCTAAAAGTTTTGAAGCTTCTGCATCTAAACTTCTATTTAATATGTCTAAATAAAGTGAAGCTTTTTTTAAATTTTGTAAATTTATATTATTGATGTAGCGAAGATACGCCAAACAATGATTTTTTGTATTTTTAACATTTAAAATCCCGTTTATAACTTCTCTCTCCGTCACTGAAAATAAAAATCGTTAAAATTATTGATATTTCATCTACAGCAACGCCTTCACTTTTTTTTTTTTTTGTGAGTTATCAAAATTTACCTGACATAAAATAATTATGCATAGTATCACTGTCAAATTTTCCAGTATTATACAGTGACTGAGCAGCTTTTCTTAAAAGTTTTTGCATTTTTCCCAAAGTGTCCCACCAAATTGCTTGATCATGTTGTTGTAATTTTGGAATCCTCTAAATTAAATTTTAATTAGTTAATTATTAATTATAACGTTTTAAATGAATACAAAAATTTACCTTGTTATTAAAATTAACCAATATGCTAGAAATCGGCTGAAGAACGGATACAGGTGGTACAGCATTACTATCTTTTCTATACCATGTATCAAGAAGAGAAACGTCTGTACCCACGCTAGCCAGTTCATCTCTCAACAATTGTAATTCAGAAGATAAAATATATGTTGGAATCGGACGGTATCCATATTTCTGTCCTAAAAATACCTAAAAATATATCTAATAAATAAATGATTCATTAAAAACCTTAAAGATAAAGGTTATTATGTATTAAGTACCACAAAATTAGGACCCATGGATAACCGTTGACAATTTTTAATTTCTCTCATGCAAAGTTCCGTTGTCATGTGATCATCCGTGGCTTCATCTCTAACACCCCAACGCATGTCGACAACCTGCAAATTATAATTTTGGTGTACAATAACGACATATTTAATTTTATGCAAATGAGTTAATCGCACGATATAGATAAGTAAATTTTTTTTAATTAATTATTTTTAATTCACGTCGTATTATACATTAATATTCATATTTATTTTTATGAATTTTTTTTTTATCTTTCGTATATTTTAATGTTTTTTTTTTTTTAAATAGAAAAATTTTTAATATTTCGGGTTTTATTTTTTGTTCATAGAATAAATCAATATCTGTTTAATCAATTGAACGATTAAAACCACGTACCGGATGGTACGGCCATTTTTATTTCACCTTGTTCAAGCACTTTTTTTAAATTTGTTTAATTTCATTTATTTGTAACAAAACACTCCCCCCCCCCATGAATTAATTTTTTCCGTATTTATGTATATAATAAATAACTTGTGACAAATTATAAAACGAAGGCATTAAGTATATTTTATAAAATAAATATTTTTACCTGAAATTCCAAACCGTGTTTTTCTCTACAATAATCCTTTAGTTTAGGATAACACTGAGCCATCAAAGTATTTCTTTCCATTGTCGTATCTATCGCAACAATTTAAAATTTAAAAAAAATTTTTAAATAAAAATTAAATCTTACGTCTATTATTATTATTATTATTTACCTGTAAATGTAGAACTTGTAAATATTCGTACAATTTTAGAACTTACTGGAGGAAGACTCTCCAAAGAACCCGCGAAAATAAGATCAATAGTACGATCATCCATATTAAAATATTGTCATCCTATTGAAAGTTGAAATAATACTGGCACATTTTTTGAACCGCCAAAAAAAAATCAATGCCGAATGTTTTTCCGTTACAATTTAAAATTTTAACCGTTAAAAATTCTTCGATGATTTTTTTTAAATTTTTTCCTCGGTTAGAAATTCGTTATACTTTTTGAAAATTTGTTGTAGTCATCGCTAAATAAAAAATAACTTTTTTTTTTATATTAATATTATTTAAAACATTTATATTATTATAAAAATCAATATTAATTACAATTATTCTCTATATATATAAATAACAATTATTATTTTTATATATTATAATAACATTTGTTATTTTTTTATTTATTACATAATAATTGAGCTTTTACTAAACTAAATTATATTTTACAATATATATATATATATATTTATATAAATATAACATTGTATATTTTTCTACCTAAATTACCTAAAAATTCTAAATAAATAATTAATAATATATTACCGACAAAAATAAATAAAAAATTATCACAATTATTAACGGAAAAAAAAAAATTATTTTATTTCTACAAAAATTGTCAATTTATTATTATAATAAAAAAAAATGAAGAAATATATATATTTATTAATATAAATATTTAAAATTTAAATAAAATAATATTAATAATGATTAACAAATAATAAAAAAAAGGGTAATATTGTGCCACCTCATATTTTTTTAACAATTTTTAAAACTTTAAAAAAAATTTATTGTTTAGAGTATTTTAATTTTACAACCCAAAACAAATATTCTAATATATATTTATTATTATTATTATTATTATTATTATTATTATTCAAATTAAAAAGAAATTTTTTTTTATTAATAAAAACTATAAAATCTTTTCGAATAATGGTCGGTAATATGTTTTTTTTTTTTAAATAAATAAAGTGGATAATTATGAGCATTTAAATTTATTTAAAAGATAAAATTTAAATTTTTATAAATAATTAAAATATCTAACGGTTTTTTTTTATTTTTTGTGTCGTTTAAAAATTAAAAAATTATTCAAAAAGAAAAAATTTAATATCGTTTATCGCACTAAAAAATACTAGTTTTAGTTTTAAACTAAAAAAAATATTTAGCGAAATAAATAATAATAATAATAATAATACAGAAAATTAAAACAGAAAATTAATATCATTTTTATTTATTTAATATTAATTTGTTCGTTGTTTTGTTTTAAATTTAAATTTTTTAACGTTGAATGACAATCGGATTTTTCACAGTCATCGGTTTTTAATGGTATCAACATGGCTAACGCTTCCAATTCAAAC